CATAAACAACTCTGCTGTGTAGCATGCTTCCTAATACCCATCCCAGAAAAAGCTGAATGCCCTGAATTTCCAATAAATGAGTTGAAAGGCTGCAGGAGGGAGGGACAGACACGGTCAGGGAAAGGACTGCTCTTAGCCAAGGGCTCTGTCCAACCTGGAGAAGCTGTAAGCTTACTTGCATATGACACTATTAAATCAAACACTTTGGCAAATCACAGGAACCCAGAACAAGACAAGATGGAAAACACTCTTCACAAGCCGAGTTGGAAAGCTCCTGAGACCAGCCAGAAGGATGCAATGAGCAGTACATATTTAATTTTACTGATTCTGACAATGCATCCAGGCTAAACAAGCACACAATTGGGTGGGCTGAAATGTTGTATAGGAGAAATATGCATTTCACTGACAATCATTAAATTATTTTTAAAACTTTGACATGATGGTTCACAGAAAATACACGGCTAGATGTTCTCAGGCTGTTTTTTAAAAATTTGCTGTATTTTGGGTTATGTTTCAGCCTATGTAGGATTCAATTTTCTTCACCTACATACATGCCTTCCCTCTAATGAACTTCCCTCAGCTGCTGCTCTGCATCACTCTGAGCCTCCTCCATCACATCACCATCACTTTAATGAGAAAGCAATAGCTCTAGGACTACATGGCTGACAAAGAGATCCTTAAAATATTTTTCACTCTTTCGTTGAAGACAATGAAAGAACACAAAGAATTCATGGGGCATGAAACCTGGAGAAACTCATGTGTAGCACATATGGTCGTTGTCTAAAAGATCCAGTCGTTCATAGAAAGAAAAATAAGATAAAATAAAAGCCATCCTAAAATACAAAAGGGCATGATTCATTACATGGTTACATAAGACAGCAGTGCCATAACACTGTTTAAGCCATCTTGCAGCAGCATGACACTGGTGTAAGAAGGGATGAATCAAACCCTGTGTTTACACTTTAAACTGATGCTCAAGCCCCAACCACCAGGAAGAGCTACGGCTTCAAATAGCTCCTGCCAAGGTCCCCCCAGATAAAATGGTGAAGGTGGGTTCGGCTTGAGAGATGTAGTCACACAGCTCCCTTCAACTTTGGTAGGAAAATGGCTACAAATAAAAAACATTTCGAATGTGGTATTATTCTATGATATGCAGATGCACTTTCCAGCCGGCATGGAGGGGAGGCACGCTCTGCTCAGAGCAGGGTGAGCTGTGGCAGCACGGTGGACCAGGGGGGAGGACCAAGGTCACTTCCCTTCCTGCTGTCCAGGACTTTTAATGCATTTCTGTAACAAATGTAGATAATTATATATTTATTTTAACTTTTTTTTTTTTTTTTTTTTTTTTTTAGAGGAATACAGAAAGAAAACAGACTGAATGTTTTGCTTAGCTGAGTTGCTGCCTTGTCCCCAAGGAGCTTTTATCGTTACATTAAAGATCTTATTTTTGCTCTGACAGATGCCAAATTTATCTATAAACTCTGGCAGCCTATATCTATAAACTCTGTTCTCTGCAGATTTATCATACATCACTGATCCCCTCATAGGGCAAATCCACCTCATTCTTGAGTGCAGTCACTGGATCAGAAGCAAACCACACTGCAGACTACCTTTGAGGTCAGATACCTGAATCTCCATCCTGGCAGTCTGCTAGGGAGGACGAGGCAAGGCCAAAGCCAGAGCTCAACAAATTAGCAAACTGGATCCACAGATATTCCCCATCTGCCAACAACTGTCAGGGACTGTGGCTAGGACATATTTTCTACATATGCAGGACGCTCAGAATCAGCTAAGTCAATTTTGTTACTGCATAACCCAAACCTGAAAAACATATCACAAGGAACAACAAAGAAAAAAGAATTCACCAGTCACTAAAAGGAAAAGGAACTGTGGTTTGATATTGCAATTTAGTCCGAGATGCATGGAAATGGGACACCTGGTGTGCCAGCCCTAATGTGCTTTCCTGTGTGAGTGTGGGAAAGCTCTTAGCCGAGCCTCTGTTTTTCCTCCAGGAAGCCAGACGTCTTATTTACCTATTTACCAGAGGGGTAATTGCCATGGACTTAATGGCCCCTTCATCAGGCGCAGTGGTTTAGAAGTGTTTCAGGGTAAAAGGCGCTATCAGGCGCAAGGCACAGACAGTGGTAGCGCGGGGTAAGGAACAGGGAGGGCACGTTAGCAGGGTGTTTTTCAAACCATTTACCAAATGAATCTATAACCTGCGGCAATGCAATCTGAAGGAAACAGCTCTGCACAGACACAAGCGTGACTGAAGCACTAGAGTCTCAACAAGACCGAAAGCAAGTGATTGTGACATAGACTACAATATTCTCTCTCCCTATTACATTGCATCACCAATGCTAATTTCCTTTCTCTCTGGAAACGGCGCAACTATCTGTTATAGTTATCTACAATTTAAGTACATTTCCATTTTTCCCTATATTCTTGCTTCAGGATTTTGACAGTGTTTTGTAGGGCTTTTGCTCCTGATCAATCCCATGTTGCCATCTGTCTGCTCCTGACAAATCCCAGGAGGAACACATCCCTGTGAGGGCTTGGAAACCCTCAGGATGTGTAGACGGATATCATTTACTTGAGCTGATCTGTTCCCCGGACTCCCTGTTGGCACCCCGTGAACAGGTGAGTGTTCAGCTGGTATAAATCAGCGGAGCTCTCCTGGGACTCATTTACATCAGCCAAGAATCCAGCCCAAAATATAGAGCTAATTTCCCATGTATCAGGCTGTCAGACTGTATCCTTTGCTGACAGGACCATTATCAGCAAAAGAAGTGCTAGAGACACTTAAAAATGATGCTGGAACTGCAGTTCTGGCAACCCTTCTGCATAGCAAGTGAAGTAGGGGCAGATGCTCCTCACCAGCCCTTGTCCGTTCGCTGGGAGCACTGACATAAGCCAGGTTTTGCCCACCAAGACACCTTCTTACAATTATTGTAGAGGACAAAACAACCAAACCAGAAGGCACCAGGTGATAAAACCAAGATTATTGAGAACTTGAGCAGAAACTTGTTTTGGAAAAGCAGATCACCATTAAATGGACACCTGTCTTTGTGAAGAGTATTTAAAAATATGAATTTGGGACACAGCAACACAACAAAAATCTGTTTAAGACCTTGCCACACCCATCTGGTTCAAGAAGATTATAAGAATAAATGTAAGAATATATAACTACCTAATAAAGAAACTAAAATGACCGTTGTTACTAAGGGAAAAATACAGGGATGTCACCAGTGAATTCTGCAATGGCATAAACTATTAAATTTACAGATACTAAAGGACTCAATGAAGACACTATTCATGGTAACATATGAGACCACATGAAGAACTAACCCTAAGCCATGTAAATACCAAAAATTACAACCCAAGTGAATCTCTGAGCCCTGCCTAAGATACTTAGACACTTAATCAAACTAAAAGCAGAACTTAAAATAAGGGCTATCTTCTGCTACCCCTCACACCAGCGGATACTAGAAGTGATATTTCATTCTCTCAGGGGTTTCTTTGACTCCAGGGTTATGTCTCACAATGAGAAGTTACTGTTCCACTGTAGACTAACAGTGGCTCAATCTGTCCCCATCCTATTTTCTGCACCCTTGCAAAAATATATCTGATTCTTCCAGAATGTACGCAATGAAGGAGCTGAGCTGCTCAAACTGAGCACGATCACTGTGTGCAGTGATGGAATTTTGCTTTATGTAGAAATCTCTATCCCACCCTGAGATGTGACTCTAGGTAACGCTCCCCAAGGTGGGATGGTGCCTGCAAAAGCCAGCACAGCGGAGTGCTCTGTCGGTGAGCGGGCAGCCAGGGAGAAGCACAGCTGAGGATGTTAATGTCAATGAAAATGCACGGTGCAGTCAAAGGTACATTTGCAGTGCAAATGTAAATGACACTGCGCACTCACAGGACCGTGACTACACAGGATTAAGGGGACTTTGCACGATGTGGCTGTGTGGCTACAGCCCTGCAAACAGATCTGGGGATTAACCGCACTAAGCAAATAGCCAGAGTAAAAAGAAAAGTGGAGTTCGATGCCACGTGCTAAAATTTCACTTTGTCCCAAAGCACAGCCAGTTCTAATTTGCTTTTGCTCTGGCAGATACAAGAGGAAAAATATGCAAAGCTGTCTCTTGTCCCAGCTGTCAGGACTGCAAAACAAATGAGAGATTTGAATAAGTTTACTTTATTGTTATCAGTGTTAAAGGCACCTTAAGGGAATCATTCACAGAAGAGAATAATTTGTAGTAGATAATAAATTACATTTTCCTCTATTTTCCTCCTTGGGAAAAATCTATTAAGACTTTGTAATTAAACCTCCTGAACATAGTTCAACTAAATGTTTTTAATTGAAAAACGGTCTATTTTTAGAAATGTCCTTTTTCTTTTTTTTTTTTTTCATAAAAACACTGCTTGCTCTCTTGAGAAATGCCACTGAAAATTATTAACTGACATTCTTCATCAGAACTGCTAATAAAATATTTCTCTCCTCACTCAGCAACTTGAAGCCGTAAGATTTTGGCACCTAATTCAATTTCTGTTTGGAAATCCTGGCCAAACAAACAGAATTATTTACTCTAATCCCTTTTAATAACAGTAATAGAGATTATATTGAAAGACATAAAATGTGTCCTGGCACGCGCATGATTCACAAGTTGTCCCTTTTCCTCTGGACCCTGCACTTGATTAGCCCATTCCGTCCACAGTGACCAAGAGAGAGCATCCTTTCTGTTTGGGGTTTTGGTTCTGTGTTGTTTTTTTGGTTTTTTGTTTTTTTTTTTTATTTCACACTTTGGGAGCATTAGTTTGCATCAAAGGCACCGCAGTTTGATTCTGTACATCCATATATATATTCATCATGGGAACAGAGTAACAAGCTAAAACCAGACGATCACCACTACCCCGAATTTGCTGTCAAATCTCATGTCTATAGCTTATAAGCAAATTCCTTGGAACAGTAAATTATTCATTTACTAAACTTTTACCATAATTCCAGTGAGAACAAAATTTAAAATGTTTACTTACTGATGTATATAGGTATCCTTCACTGTTCATTGCCAGATACAATTTTGTTTGAACCCCCTGAATCGCCACCACTCGTAAACCCACAGGTATGAGGTTAAACAAAGCTAGGAGAGAAAGGAGATTGAGAGCAAAATTAATCCTTTTGAATATACAGATTTGGTAGAGAATTAAACCATAATTACCAGAACCAAATAAAAAATGCCCATTCATGCATATATGAATTTCTGGGGGTGCTATAGAACAATACTACTGCTATCATGCTCTTCTATAGCAATTTCCACCAACAGCTCAGAAACTATCTACAGAGGGTATCAATATATCTCCCCCATTCTCAAGATGGTGAATTGGAGGTACTGAGAGCTAAAATGACTTACCTGCCTCATGAGCAGAATCCAGAGTCTGCTGAGTAGAGCTGAACAGACTTAATTTGGTTTTGTGTTTTGGTTTTTTTTCTGACAGTAAGCGCAAAAGAAAGAAAAAAAAAGTAACCCCAAAACAAACAAAACATTTTTCAAGATGACAAAATTTTTTTTTTTGCAAATTTAGATCAAATTCAGTAAACATTTTTGACCAAAAGGAAGGAGCAAAATAAAATTCAGAAAAGTTAAAAACCTTCATTAACATCTCAAAATGTTTCTACCCAAAACTCGTTGGGTTTGTTTTCTTTTTTCTCTTTTTGAGAGAAGAGTGGGTTTGAAAAAACAGAGTTAAATAACTTCAAAATTAAATGAAATGACGGCATGTTCTTTAGATCAAGCCCTAAATCTGTGCTTTCAAAACTGAAGCTGCTTCAAATGTTCTGCTTGCGTTTAAGCTTGTACACATGCTAATAGTGGCAGCATTTATAAGCAGAGAAACGTCTCTTCAAAAAATGAAGATTCCGGTTTGTAAAGTGGCAAATTAAGAAAAAAAAAAAAAGAAAAAAAAGCAGAGCTCTGCCATAGCTTAGATCCATAGGTACGTTAAAATCGAACACAAGTAATAATGAGTTGAGTACAGTACTCTGTGTTCAATACATAGGATTAAAAAGAAAGTGGGAGTTAAGAACATTTTCAAGAACTGTTATCATAACCCAAAGCACCTCTTTCAAGCCTGTTGGATAAATGCAGAGATAGGATGAAGTAATGGCAAACTGGCTCTTCCTTCCAATGGCTTATTTATTACTTGGCTGGAAGACCCCAGTCTGCTTCAGGCTGAAGTTTGGTATTTATGGTCACTGTCTGAAGCCAATTTAAAACTGAATTACGAATTTGAAATATTTTTATTATTTCCAAAAGTATAAGCTAAAGAATTATGACCCATTATAAATTCATTTTTCAGGCTGACAACCCCCAAATGGTCATATTTAATTAGAAGAAAATTTGTAGCCTGCCAGCATTTAATACAAATCCTGAATTCTGGGTGTGGGGTTATCAAGAGTCTATCAAAAAAGGAAAGAGCAAATGCATGCACGTCCTATTCTGATACAGGCACAGCCAGAAGTTAACACTGTGTATTGGGGACAAAGGACCAAATTCTGGTGAACAAAGACTGTTTCAGCAGGCAGCTGAACCTCCAGCTCTGTGTGCTGTCCCGGGTTAACCTGAGCATCTCAGCCCCATGGCTCGGTGAAGGGGGGTGCTGTGGGCTCTGGGGTGGGGGGCAGCAGCCGAGGGACATGCTGAGGGCTGGGCTGAGCCCCCCGGCTGCGCTGGCACACCACCAGCTACAGGTGCTCTGCTCTGAGGCTGGGGGACTTTTGAGCACTGAATTTCCTACAATGGCCATATACAGCAGAGCAGGTGGAAATATCCAGAACTAACAAATAAATGTAGGAGATCACAAAATGGTATTTTTCTTTCCCTCTCATACACACGAGTGTACACACAGACACACGCAGCCCCTTGGCACACTTGCCTGCAAGCACAGAAGCAACAGAAATGGCTTTCTCTTCACTAAAACAAAACCCTCTCACTCTGTGCAGCTTTTGGAAACAAAAAGATTTTCAGTAAGAGAAACGCAAAGAGGAAGGGATTGCTCATTCATTCTATCAAATGCTTGAATTTATTTGGGGGAGAAAAAACTCCTTGTCTGACTCAGTAAATATTCCCTCGGAGAGCCCTCTTCTGCAGTTCAACCCCAAAAAGCAGCATCTGATCTCTGTGTAGGCAGGAGAGCACAATTTAAAGCTCGGTATCCAGGCAGAACCTGGAGGTCTCTTTCAAAAGGTGCTTTTTTAGTGCCACATTTATGAGAAGGGGAAGCATTTGGGTATTTTCAGCACGAGGGTGCAAATACGGGCTCTACGTAAACAGTGCTACGAACCTGCCAATAGACAGCTAAGGACAGGGCAAAGCCTGGGACAGTTGAGAAGATACAGCACACAGCCACAAGCCACAGAGACAGCTTTCAGTGAGCGATTCCTGGCTGTGCTGTGCTTGGCAAAGTCAGCAGAGACACAAGGGGAGGGCTGGGGCACCCACTGTGATGGGTGCTCAGCTGTTTCCCTCAGCAGCTGAACAGGTTTTCCTGCCATAAACATATATGCTCTATTTTGAAGCAAGACGAGGGCTGGTTTAGACATCGGTGGGATTAGCAGCTGCTGTGGCACAGGCTGTCGGAAGTTGCGGAAGGGCTGCAGGGGAGTAACGCCGGCTCTGCTGCCGGCTGCCGCTGCTGCAGGGGAGAGGGACAGGCTGCTGGAGGGGTGCACAGTCCATCTGTCCCACGCCAGCACAGCCAGACACACCGCCAGGCTGCCCAGCTGCTGCCTCCAAGGCGAGGGGACATTGGCACTGCACCAAAAAAGGGGACCGTCCCCTGCGGCAGCAGCTGTTGCTCCCACTGTCCTTGCACAGCAGCAAGTCCAAGTCCAGCTTCTGGAACAGCAAGTGGCCTGTCCGTGACCAGCGAATGCTGGTGGGGACAACAGCCGTGCCATGCAGCCCTTCTCTGTGAGCCCCCAAGGCCATGGAGCATGGGTTTGAGATGCTAGCGCTCTTCTAGCGGATGACCCTCTTACGGGCAGATATGGCAGAGAGTGTGAAAAAAAAAAAAGCAAACAGGAAAATAAATTGTTTGCTGCTACAATCGTTGTGTGTTAGCATACAATAACGCAAAGTTATTTGCATCCTAGCCTTTTGCTATTACATTTGTGCTGTGTAAAATAAGGACATAATAACCATCGTAATGAAAAACTCGGTGATGCCTAAGGGAGGCATCTTTGCTATGGCCCTTGTGCAATACAAGGTGACAGAGAATTAGAGCTGCAAAATAAGAGGCAGTGGGCCACAGCTGGATTTATGAATGTATACATTACTGGGAGGTCTGTGCTCTCTTTGGCTTGGCCACCTGGACCTTCGTACACTTTCTGCAGGATATTGTTTCCTGTATTTCCTTATTTTATCAGTCCTGAAATCTGTTTGTCTTGACAATATTGGGGAATAAATTCTGCCTTGATTTAAAACTTTACCCTATTTAACACATTCAATGAGGCAAAATCTGTTTCTCAGCCAGGAAATCCTTTCCACGAGGTCCTTACTCAAAGCACACGGACTCTTGGCTAAAATTTACATGAGTACTGTGGCTCCTCAAATCCTCATTTCACTTCCTGCCTAAACTGTGCTCCAAAATCTCATCTTTCTTTTAAACTCCCTGCAATTGTGAATGAGACCTTGTTTTTGTGAACCCTGCGTGCAGCTGTGGGGCTGCAGAGCTTGAAATAATGGTTTTCAAGTCAGGAGCCGAAGGGGATCTTCAGGCAAACTTCCCACTCGGCTCTAGGTACCAAATGATGGAGAGAAGGTGAACTCCTGGGCCCAGGCTGCTGTCAGGAGCACGGAACAGCAGCTGCTATCGGGGGCTGCAGGCTCAGCCCATCCCTACTGTAAACAGGAAGAAAAATTCCAAAATTTAAACCAGGCTGACCAAAGCTGTCTGGAGACCCGGCAGACACTGGCTATGGTTTGCTCTAAAAAAAAATGCAGTTGCAGAGTCCCAGCACCATGCAACCACTCTGCTGGCCACTGCTGCATTGGAGGATGTTCCCCGTATTATTAAGGGGAGTTTTTATTATTGCACTGGACTGCAAAGCAAATGGTCTTAGAGCAAATGTTCAGGCAAGGGGACAAAAGGGAACAGCAATGATATCCCTCAGGGTGCAAAGGGGAGAAGAATGGATTAGAGAAGGGATCCCCTCATATCTGGGGTGGGCTACAAGTCCTGTAGCTTTCCTGCAGTGCATGAATATGGGCTAAAAGAGAGATGTCTCTGCAGATATTGGAAGCAAGGATTTTAGAGGGCCTGATCCACTTAATATTCATGTGAGCAAGGCTTCTAGAGAACCCCATTATGTGGACTCTGATCCACCGCATAAATCTGTCTGTCTTACTGGCTCCATTAAAAATATGGTAATTAAAATAAATTCAGGACTGCAGGACAGCAGGTCTCTACACTTACCGTAAGTAAAAGAAGAATACATACAAAAGCATGTGGGTTTTTTTAATTATAAAACCTGTGCCTGCTCTGAGTACTTAGATACTGCAGCTAAGCTGCAACCATTTCTGGGATACTTCCATTATATTTAAGCATCCAGCATTGTGGAAGGCTGGTATCCAGCAACAAGGAGTTTTTATTATTTGCTTTGTGATCTATTAGATTATGGTAAATTTAAGGACACAGTAAAAACAAAGATGTCCTAGAAACAGACACATTTGTAGGAATGCCAAACGGACAGATTTCCATAAAATTTATAGTATTTTGAATCTCAGATTCCCTATTAGACGAATTGCAAGCAAAGTACTTCAATGAATCGATCACTTTAAAAAACCATGGAATTTCAGGTATTTGCTCCGGTACATTAAAAGTTTATAACAATGCCATGTTCCGATGTAAAAAGTAACATTTGCGTATTTCTTCTTTTTTAGAGATAATTAACAGAATTACCCTGAAATCCTGAATGATCTGTATCGATTTTTAAAATCACAAATATTAGATCATTCACTTCAAAGAAAATAAAATGTTTAAGATCCATAAGGATCGTTCTTAGACTAGATTTTGTGGCTGCAATGAGGAGAACTCAATAAGATGGCAGCAAGCGCTCAGCCTCACACCAGACCTCGGCTGTCCCCACAGATCCCAGCTTCTGCCCTGCCCTAAGGCCAGCGCCTTCTGCGGATGCAGAGGAGACCTCCTCCAGCTGCATAACTAGTTCCCTCCTGTCGCTCAGAAGTTAACATAGGGACATGAAAAGGATTACAGAGGAAAAGTGTAGGAGGAAGTGATCGGACAAATAAGATGGGACGCTTCCTACTGCATTTAGTGCTTACTCTGCCATATTCAAGTGCCCTCTAAAATGAAATGATGTTTCACCTGCAAATGCGTTTTATATGAAAAGGATGGCACTAAAATCTGTGCTTTTTAATAATTAAAAGGAAGATCTGCCTGTTGATCTTCTGGTTTGTCGTCTAAGTGGCCTGAAATACCTTCTCAAACTCCTAGCTCCTCTTAACGTCTTTTTCAGAGCAGAAATGTAGCTTAAGCTAAACAGCACAACTATGTGAAACACTTAAATATTTTATATACACACACCAAATCTATGCTCTAGTTATCTTTTCCTGTTTCCTACTAATTTTCAAAGTCATAAAAAAAAAAACCAAAAAAAACCAAAAACGTTTCCTATTAATTTTCAAAGTCGTAAAAAAAAAATAAAACCCAAAAACATCCAAAGCCTTTTCACAGAAAAGCTGAGGGAAATCTGGTTCCAAAGCTTTTTCACAGAAAAGCTGAGGGAAATCTGGTTGGAAGCTGAAGGTATAATTAAGTTTAGAAGGGGAAGAGCGAACTTCAAAATGATGATGAACTCTCATTGTGTGCAATAACACCGCTCCGTTTGAATGAGCCCCTGTTTAAGAGTGGGGATAGCGTTATTCTATTTCAGGCACTCTGAGTAGGCGAGCAAATTTTCCCTGTCGGGGGAAAAAAAAAAAAAACCTAATAAAATCCAAAGGACAGCAACGAACTTCTCTAGATTACCATGGAGATAACATTTGCTTTGTTTGTCATATGTGTCATCATTACCTCCTCTAGTTCGTTATTTCTATAAGTGATTTTTATTTGCATTTCTCTCAGACCCAGTAAGTCTGAAAATCTTCTGCGCTGTGAGCAGTGTTAATGCCGGTTCCACTCACTCAGTCATCCCAGGACAACAATTTGCAATGGACCTATATGGGAAGAACGAGACACCACAATTCACAAACACACCATTTAGTCTCATGTCACTTACTATAACTACTGTCCTCCTCTTTTGTTCCATCAATTGTTCCATCTGCTTGCAACTGCAAGTGGTATCCTTGCCTGCTGTATAGCTTTGTTACTATACCTTTAAGCTGAGGCTCTGTAAAAAAACAATAGCGAGATTAATGTGGGAAATCCTGATGTGCCGTTCCAAGCGAGCAGGATGCTTAAAACAAATCTCCTGGTTTCTTCTCAAGGCTGAGATATGAAAAAGACCCAAAACAAAAGCAGGGCAACCAGCTTTGCAACACTTTTCATTTCAGCTGAGATCAAATTTATGTCTCCAAAATCAATTACCAAAATGATTAAATGCCACTCTCAATTGCAATGAAGGTAGCACAGTAAAATCTGCTTCCAGTGAATCCAAATTCCAACAGTGTGCTGCTTGGCCTCAGGAGCTCAGCCCTATCTCATTTAAGATTAGAAACGAGCTGGCAAAGAATGTATTCCGCCTTTTAAAAAGGTGTGAGTTCTTAAATGGAGAAGAAAAAGAGGACTACTATGATAGCGCTAATAAGAGCCATAGTGACAGTTGAGAACCTAAATATATAGCAGCAAACGTTTAGCACAGGAGCTGCTGCAGCTCTAATAAACAAACCCCCATTCCTCGCTGCTCCAAGGAGTGCAGAGCATCTGAAGTGATAAACTACTCAATGAACATATGGAAAATGGAGGGGGAAACCCTGAAATCCAGCAATGTGTGGAACTGCAAAATAAATATTACCATAAGGGTTGAGGTAATTACCTCATCAGCTAGAAGCAGAAAGATCAAAACAACACATAGCTTGGATAGATTTCTTTTTTTCATAACCATCCTCAGATTCACAGTTAGAAAGCCAGATACCTCATACGGTTTCAGATCATTCTAGACCAAAAAGCAAACAGCAACAGGACCTGCTGTCAACTCTGTCATTTGAGATACCTCAGTAATGCACTAGGAGTAACTGCAACAAGGGTCTACTTCCACTGAATCCCAATGACATCTGCATTGTAGTTATTTCACACAACTATGCTCATCAGGAGGTAATGCCTCCTCTCCACACCTTGCTCCACAACTTACTGAATTCCGAAATAAACATACTGTGAAGATATGATGTGTCACTTCCAACAGTCAGTGTATGGATAAGACTCCTTGCTTTTGTAATCAAAGACATTGGGGAGCTCTGCTGCTGTACTTCATTTTAGTAGGAGCTGCAGGCAAAAGCTTCCAATAGTTTGCATAAGTATATTATTTTCCATCAGCAACCTTTAGTAAGGGTACTGATGGATGCACAATCCTTATCTACCAACTTTTCTGAGAAGAAATTAATCCAACCCCCACGCTGGCTTTTTAGCCATAATACATCCCAATGCTGCTTGCAAATCACGAGTGAGGCACCTCTTCTGTGGCTGCTGAGAAAGGCAGACAGGTTAAGTGGCTAACGGCATCAACGTTTCAGCACAGCAAAGCGATAGCAGCATTACCAGAGGGTTTTGCTCCTCCCACGTACAAAAAAACCCCACTCAGATCAGGGACTGTCTTCATGCCTGATCTTTTGCACCTCTGACACAGAGAGCATCGCATCTGCAGGGCAGCTGCACGGATGAGGTTCCTAGAAAGGAACAGGGCGCTGAAGCAAAACTCTGGAAGATGCCAGCAAAAGCCAAAAGCCTCGTCTGCAATCAGCAAAAAAAGCACGGCACAGGCACTTGGTGAAGCAGGGAGACAAAAACAGATCTCTAGATCGCTGAGTTATTTAACATACAACTGAAGGAGGTGTGTGGGGGAACTTCCCCTGCTGGCATCTCCTCCACAAATAAATCACGTGTGTTTGTATATGTGTATACACAGAGACAGACTACTGAATTACTGGCACACAGGTACACATGGCTGCGCGAGTCAGGCAGATAGCAATGGTGTGTTGCTATAAACCAGATGAACACGAAAGGGGAAGGGACTGGCACAGGGTACCCATGTCTATCAGATCATACAAGCCAGGAAGGACAACACCCGCACATTAATTTTACCAGCCCTGAGACATGAGATCCCCTTTCCCCACGCCTGATGCATATCCCAGTTTGCATTAAACAAACCAACCCCCCAAACACATAACCCCTGCCAACCTGGTCGCCGCCTTCGCCTTTTCTTGGAGCCAAAGAGTTTGACCCTGGAAAACACATTCAACTTGTTCTTGTCGCAGCTTCCCTTGCTCTTGCTGGGGCTGTTGACACACTTACAGGCATTGGACTTCTCCCGCTCCCTGGCTTGTCTCTTCTGGCGGATCAGGGAGCTGGCGATGGCTGCAGCCATGGCC